TCGGAGAGGGAGGGCAAGGGGTCCTGGTAGGGCATGCCAGGAAGGGGCACCACCCCTGACAGGGAAGGAAGCAGGGCTCCCCACTTCAGCCACTGTGCCCAGAGGCCCAAGTACCATTCAGGAACTGAAGAGTTACTGGCTTAAGTCAGGTGTGGGAAGCACATGCCTTCAATCCCAGCACCTGGGATGCTGAGACAGGAGGATTATATGTTTGACGCCAAGCTTACCTACATGGTGAGACTTTGTTAAAAAAAATTAAAATAAGTAAATAAATATAAGCCAGACAGTGATGGCCCATGCCTTTAATCCCAGCACTCGGGAGGCAGAGACAGGCGGACCTCTGTGAGTTCGAGGCCAGCCTGGTCTACAGAGCGATTGCCAGGATAGGCTCCAAAGCTACACAGAGAAACCCTGTCTCGAAAAAACAAAATAAAAAATAGATAAATAAATAAATAAGTACATGTAGCAGGGCGTGGTGTGGGAGACGCCTATGGAGGAGTGTTGCGGGATGCGGAGTCCTGGGGAGGCCTGAACTAGGGGGAAGACAGGACTTGGGGGCATGATTAGCATGGAGTGTACAGAGGCTTACAGATAAGTGAAGGGCAGGACGTTTAGAAAGACAGAGGGCTAGGTCCTGTGAACTAATCAACAGTGCCCTTCTCTCTGCCCACAGCCCTCATCTTTGATGGAAGTACCAACCCAGCTCACCCCAAACACATTGGCAGCATTGACCCTAACTGCAGCGTGTCTGATGTGGTAAAAGGTGAGCCCCCACCATAGGCCTGGCCCAAAAAGGAGCTCCAGAGACCCCTCCCTCCCAGATAACCTGGCCAGAGGATGACCCATTCCCAGTGGATGGTGGTGGTGGGGGACGGGCATGTCCCCATGGGTTTCATGTTGGTGATGCCCAATGTCAGTGCATGCCGGGTCAGCCACCCATAACCTGAGTGGTTCCCTCTCCTCTCAGATGCCTATGACATGGCCAAGCTCCTGTGTGACAAATACTACATGGCTTCACCTGATCTAGAGATCCAGGAAGTTAATGGTAAGCAAATGAGGGTGTGTGTGTGTGTGTGTGTGTGTGTGTGTGTGTGTGTGTGTGTGTGTGTGTGTGTGTGTGCTCGCATATACTTAGTGTGCATGTGTTTCAGAGCAATGGGGACAGACCAGAGTAGGGGAGCTGGAGGGCCAGGCTCCCCTAGAGGGGAGCCATTGTAAATTATTAATTTATTGGAAAACTGCTTATTATTTAGCACTTGCATCATGTAAAAAAGATAGGCAAGCTCTTGCCCTCACAGAGCTGACATTCTTGGTGCTGGGGCGGTTGGGAACTGTAACAGTTAACCACTGAACATGTAATTTCAGAGCCTCGTAGGTGACAGGCTGATGTCATTGTCCTTATAAGTGAACATAGTGAGTAAGTAAAGGACATGATGTGGGTGGGGCCAGAGGACAAAGGCCAGGGAGAGTGATGTGAACAGGGACACCTCCCCAGAATGCAGTGGCTTAATTAAGAGATGCCTTTGGACCGGGCATTGGTGGCGCACGCCTTTAATCCCAGCACTCGGGAGGCAGAGGCAGGAAGAGCTCTGTGAGTTCGAGGCCAGCCTGGTCT